GCATTAAGTAAGTCACACAAAATTAAGGGAAAATCAACCCTCCTCCCCCATTCGACAATTTTTCCACTCACTTGTAAACCTCCCCATTCCCATTAGAGCGTGACGTACTTAATGGATGCTCCCTTATAAATTTTGATCGCTGTGAAGATGTAAATCCGTTTAAAAAAGATCCTGAAGGACTAAGTTGTTACGTTAATGTGGATTAGGGTGCCAATGAATGTATGGGAAAAAAGTGACCCTCACATTTTCAGAACAGCGGATGTGCAAAATGTTTATTGCTTCGAAAAAAGACCCAGTGAAAAATGTGGGCACTTTCAGACTAGATTCGAATTGGCGCAAAATCGGCAAAGTTCGGTTTGTTTGTTTTTGTTTTTGCGGGGTGTATATTTTAATAATAAATATTTCGAATTATCAAAAGCCAAATGAATATTTTTGTTCCATCTATTAACTCTTCGAGTACTAAGCTGAACATGATCTCGACCCTTTCTTCAAAATGATACATCTCGGGTTTTAGTTATCCGATTGCTAATGTTTTTATACCATTGGATCCTCAACTTCTCTTTGATATGTTGTTTGAGCTTCCTGCTTCTGTCATTGAGGAGCTCCTGGTAAACAAAAAAACCGGCAAAAAATAATGTTTAAAGTGACCTTCTTTGATTTGTATGAATTTCTCGTACACTCATTTCATCGACGACATCTTCCACGTTAAGAACCGAACCGACGCAGGTACTTCCTGAAGCAGCCGTGGCCAGGCAGGAACTGCGTTAGGTGAAAGTTGACTTCTCTGTGTTTTATGTTCACCTAGGTCGAAATAATCGGTAATCTATGTGTCCATCTACCGTTTTCTACCGTGTTCCACTCCTATTGTCACTTAGCCAACGACTCTGCTCTTAAAACTTTCCGTACTCTTCTGGTACACTCCGCCTGTAGCACTCGCTGTCCTCTGCCAAGGTGATGCCGATAGGGATCATTCCGGCGATAACGCCTACTGCTTCCGACTAGATGATTCTGTACGCACTCACGACTCGCATGGCCAACAGTTCAGTTTTCTTTGGTTCTGCTTGGTTTCAAGCGCTGCAACCCAGGCTGAACCTCCATACCTCAGTATCGACAACGACACACTGGCCAGAAGACGCCTCTTGCTACTGTTGGGACCAGAGTTGTTCGGCATGATTCTAGCTATCGCGTTGATGACCTTCGAAGGCTTTTGACAGGCATATTCGACGTGGCTGTTGAAGTATAGCCGGTCATCGATCATCACTCACGAGTATTTCAACACTGGCTTCGAGGCTATGGCATGCTTCCCGACGGTGATTTCTGCCCGCTGCATCGTTTTATAGTTACTAACCAATACAAGGGGTTGGTTACTCCGCACAGTGTGCCAAAAACAAGCTTGGGCACATCTGTGAACAGTCATTAGCACTGTTTTGCACCCATGGTTAAAATTTTCTGATCTTTAAAGTTAATGGCAACACTGTTATTTTTCCCTGCCAGCGCGTGTGCATGTGTCAAAATTTAAAGTTGATGTTGCCATTCAATCCAATTTCTAGAAATCACAACCATGAATCTCCACCAAATCCAGTCAGTCATTCTCCAAAATCGAATCGGATTTCTCAAAACACAGACAGCGCACTTTCTAATGCCTGACCGGCAATCGCTAGCATAGCAACAACCCTTAATCAATTCCAACGTAACCGGAAAAAATGCTCATCCATGATAGTTTATAAACCTTGTAACGTTCTCCGGCTTGTTGTAAAAATGTTGATGTATTATTTAAGTTTACTTCTACAGTAGATTAAAAAATTATTACCATTATTCATAAATATTTACATTTTTATATAGGGGAATTTACGTATTCTCGTCAGTCTAAGCAGCGTCCGAACTTCTATTAGCGATTTCTCAGCGTCACACACATACATGACAGGTTTGTTTGTTAACATTTATCTACTGCTTGCTGTTCTACCAATTCTAATCGACAGATTTGATCAAAACGGGTTAAACATGTTTTTACAACGCTCCAAACTTCTCAGGTGAGTGTGACTATTGTCGGCAGTCTCTTTTTCTTCGGCACCCTTTCCATTTGAACTGCGTGTTAACCAGCTGTTCTATTATCGGCAACTCGAAATCAGCCGTATTTTGTAGTGTGTATATTTAATTTAAAGAAAAATATGGCATAACAGGATTGCACAGTCGTAAAAATGTAATCAAATTGAAGCTGAAAAGGTAAGGAATCGGCTTAATACATTCAGCGAAGAGTTTTGATGGGAAAATACAGTGAAATTAACGTTTCAATTTCGGTTGCCGAAAACAGCCAATGGGTGCCGAAGCCATAATTTACCCTATATGCTAAATTCTATCGCATTAATTAAATTTAATGAACTGCAGATTCAGTTGCCTGGCTAATTCAATTTTATATTGTATATTGTGTAAAGATTGTTAGTGTTAGGATTAAACGTAGATGGCCGTAGATGGAAAATATATAGAATTACAGTATACTGTGGTAATTCGTTTAATTTAATTGAATAAGTATTTGTAAAGTCCAAGGAAAAAAACGATAACTATTAAATTTGAAGCTTGATAGCTGATTTTGATGATCATATAGCGCATTTCAGTTTTAAGCCGGCTTGTGAGCAGTAGTGAGCTCAGTAATTTTAATTTTATCTTTCTTTTTTTTAATTTATCTTGAGGTGTGTAATTGTAAAGTTAAGCTAAAAGTAGGACCTTTTGTTAAATGTGCTGGAAGTGAACTATTTTCTATTGTTTAATTGTGTTGTAATTTAATAATGGATTCCGGACTTTGTGTATCTCGAAGGGTGAACACATTGCTCGCGTGAATTTTCGGTTATAAATTAAAAGGTACATTATCTTACAATTTATTTGTTTGTATATTATTCAAATATTCTTTTCGCGTTGGACATCAGTGTCCAACGGGTGCTTTTAATATATGGCCTAAAGGTTCGTATTTTTTCCGCCATCTTTGTATTGAGTGCGCGTGATGAAGGACCGGTGTGGATCTTCGCTTGGCCCGCCAGATTGCTGGCAGTAAAACGGGGTCGAGAGGAATCGACTGGCCTGCCTACGATCGGAAACGAATGATCAGGTAGAGTACCGGTTTTACCGATATCCTCCCCCGCACCCTTAGTTCGGCCGCTGTTCGAAGAAGTATCCCCCGGTGGCGCTAACGACTCGAAGTGTCCAGATCGTTTTGGTCCGGAGACGAATTCGACCATCTTACCGTGCGACGGTGAAATTATCGCATGCCATCCGTGCGCCCCCCCGGCTGATGATCATCAACTGACAGCCAACATAAATTCTGCGCAGGTATGTTCACTCATGGCCATGACACACAAATCAACACTCTGTTGCAGGTACTTCATGGCAAAATCATGGCAAAATCCACGGTCCTTATCTCGGGACGGAAATGTTGTACCTACTCCTCGGTCATCTCAGGTTTCGAAAAACAAAACAAAACAAGAGTTGTCTATATACCAGGTTGTCAAACAAGACATTATTCACAAGCAAACAAAAGTAAGTTCAGCGTTAGCACGCCGTTTTACATCACGTTCCAGAGCGTTGGACCAAGATGGAGCCTTGTGGAACTCCCGTTGTGATCCTAATCGATCTCTAACCCATGTCTGGGCCTCCCAGCTGGCGCTGTTGAGCGCATTCTTGACGTCGATCGTTATTACGGCTCAATATCGATCTCCTATCCGCTTCTGTTTGAACGCTTTCTCGGTTCTCTCGATCACTGTCCGAATTGTATCTACCGTTGATCTTCCTTTCCAGAATCCGAACTGCCTCTCCTTGCTCACTCTCCGTGCATTTCGTCAACCTGTTTAGGATGCTCCTCTCCAAGAGTTTCCCAAGCGTGTCCAGTAGACACATAGGCCTAAACGATACTGGATCCCCCAGCGGTTTTCCTGGATTTGGCAGCAACACTTGCTTCTGTATTTACAACCTGCAGGGAAGTGATCCTAGTCCAGGCATTTCTGCCGCACCATCCTGAACATGTCCGGGAGCATGGATCGCCGTTTTCAACGCCACGTTGAAGATTCCATTAGGACCAGGAGCTTTTTTCACCTTCAATCCTTTCGCCACTGTTACGAGTTCCGCGTTGGTGACTTTAACGTATATGTGATGAAAAGTCATAAACCGTCCAAGTTACAACAACAAACAACTGCACTAGCAACCGGTCACTACGATGAAAATTATCCAGGATTGAAAAAACGTAAAAATACTTAACAATACTTATGACAGATTTTAAAATATTTAAATGATATTAGAACTAAAGTTTAGAGTGGGATGCCCCTAGTCAGACCCAAAAATTCACGGAACTTCTTTGTACTGTGCCTGGAGCCTGTATAGATTTTTTTGACTGTTTCAAATTATTGTTCTTCACAATAAGCGTTGCTTGACAGTTTTCAATAAACAGCATACGGAACACCAACCAAAACTACTCATAACACGAAAAAATAGAACAAAATTAAAAAAAAAAGCGGGAAAAGAAACATTTGCGACCAACCTCAACCTCAACACACTTCGATAGTTTCCAAAACAAATGCATCACTTTGTATAAAAAATACAGAGAAAAGGAAAAAAGATCGTTCAGTAAAATATGAAGCCTTGATACGCTGGTCCAATGCAGGCTATATTTTGCATACATAATATTCTACAAGATAAGTAAGGTAGTTTCGGATGAGCCTGTTGCATTATTTGTTGAAAGGATTTTTCCACGGCCGAATTTTGGTGAGTGCATTCTTTAACATTCCAAGACTCATAAAAAATGTCGTTACCTCAAAATGCTGAAACGAGAAAAAAAATTGAGAGTTTCGGGAGATAATTAAATACATTCAAATAATCACTGATTTAAATGGTTTTTATATTTCAAAACTAATATATATACATTTCATCTCAAATATATACAGACTAACGAAGCATTCGTAAGTTTTCAAACAACATTAATATAATAGCTTTCTTTCTCGAAGGCATCAAAATATACTCTACAAATGAACCCTTTGTATGGGTCGTATAACGCATTTGCAGCACGATGGAAGACGGAATGATTCTTTATACGGTTGATTGGTAACTGCATCGAATGCCAGCAATGTGCGATAGTGATAGAGTTGCTTACATTCCGTTGTATACATAGAGATCAGGTATTGTAACTTATTGCACGATTCACCAGGATTTCGACAGGTTTCAATTCGCACACCCTGCATGTAGCTCGGAGTATTCACAATCATCACCAACTGATCCTTAATAGTATAGCCACTTTGAGGATGAACTAACTTTTCCTCGCTCATACAAATGAATTCATCATCTGACGTATCGAACCGTTTTATCAAAGTATCACCGCTATCCATTACCACATCATCACCAAAAACTTCAGCAAACCGATACTCCTGACGGGCAATTATCTCATTTACCAACTGCTGAGGGTAATCGACGACGTTTGTACAAATGGGATAATCTGGACTGCAATCTTCGGACATATCAATTCTGGGCTTCACGTCATTCGCAAACATAAAATCGAAGTTCAATCCGATGCGGGTTGCGCTGGTACTACTCTCTGTGGGTTGTTCGATGTGGGAAATCGGATGCTTGGTTGTACTCGAACGATTTATCCTTGTGTTTTTCCCAGATTCTTGTGTTACACCATCCATCCTAGCGGATAATTTCACCTCTCTTGATCTCACCAGGGGCCAAACACCCACTGCAGAATGTAACGGAGTCACTAGCAGCAGTACTAAAATTAAGGTAAACATTTCCACCTAATAAAGCTAGACTAAAAATCTTAAAGTTTTGGAAGTTATTACTACACCAATACTACTTTTGTTTTGCTATGGTTCGTGATACGATTGCTACAGAAAATTTTTAGCAGTCGCTGAAAAAATGATCGGGTAGCAAAAATACGAGTTGAAATCATATTTATATGCTACTGTGCACCCGAAACCATCACCGTAGTATCTACCAAAGGTTTCTACCTACATGATTACTGCCATTTTACCTGTTGTATTTACCCTTTTCAACAAATCAAAATATGTGCACCTGCGACAAACAAGCAAAGGTGGGTAGCTATTTTCATATTAAACCATTGGAATTCTCGTAGGAGTCGTTATCATACGGTAAATTATCAAGATCAATAAGTGTGGCAGTGGAGTCGTGGCGGCTAGATTGACAGTTGCCTGTCACAAATGACAACAAGATATTTCTCGCGGTGATCAAATTGGTTTAAACCAGTTTTCTATCCGAGGGATAGGTTTAAACTATTGTTTTAAAGGCAAAACCAAAAACCATTTCAGGCAAATACTAAAGGTACTGTCTGAAGCCGTTTGACACTATCTAAAAATGAGATCCACTACTTTTTCATGTTTTTATGTGTCATGCATTTTTTCATATTCATACACATACTGTCACAAGATGTAGGACCCATGACGTCTTTATTAGAAATACTCAGAGGGAGATATGGGAGAAGATAATAATTTGAGCCAAATGAACAGCAACATCTGAGCCAATCGAACATTCCCATTAGAATTTGTCCGAGGATTTCTTATTATTACTAGATTGTATTTGAGAGTATTGCCACAGAACAGAAATTCAATCACCTTTATGTTTCGTGTGCTTTTCTAATTCAACTAGTTTTTGGAATCAAAAACAAAATTCTAGCTCTACTGATTAATTGATCTTAGTTGGTTAATAAATGGCACCAAGAAATGTGCAAAATATTGCGATGCAATCAATTATTATCTTGCACGTAAATGCTGGATTCTAGCAAGGGGTGCAAGATAATTTAGGTACAAATCCCTGCTGCCGATCTGTATTTTGTTTTCTCCGCCTATCTCTTCCTCTGAGTATTTCTAGTCTTTATTGAACGGCTTCATTCAACGATTCCCATTCTTCATTTATAGAACTGCTACCTAAGCCACTATGATTCACAAGGAACCATTCAAACATGAATTTATCAAACGTTTCACAAGAAATAAGCAATGAATAGTGGTGCACTAAAGTTGCCTTATGAATTGCAATAAAGAGTTCACTCTTCATGCGTCAGAGAAAAAAAAAATACGCCACAATTAGCACTGCACTAAGCGTGAAAATTACCAACCATCCTTTAGTGCTGCAAAAATATGGTCTCCAGGGTAATTTATATTCAAAAAAAGCTTTCAACACTCGCTTGAAATTACACTTTCCGCCGTTGGCAGCTGCTTCCAGCTATTTGTCTCTTTGTGGAGAACAAGTGCGTACAGAAGTCATAAAAGCTTTTGTATCAAATTACAGTGTTCGCAATTTTCTTCTGGCCGTTACATCTATAGGCACGTGGAGTCGAGCTTAATTTTTCCCATCATATCGCCGCCAGCACTTGTTGTGGCAGCCTGTTATCTGATGTTCACTGTCTAAACATTAACTAGTCAACTCAAAGAGGCTTAAGATTGTAATAATAATTACCCAAGATTAATTAGCAGGATAAACCAAAAATGACAGTAACTTGTATCACTTCAATTAATATCAGTATTTAATAGTGTATTTATTGACATCCGAGGAATTTTCAATAAATTAAACGTCTGCGAGCAGTTCAATAAATTAAACGGGTGTGAGCATTGGCGTAGCTAAGCCGTCCCTAGAATATTTGAGTCACCTTCTAGGGAATATGCTTCCACTTTTACTAAACAATATTACCATCAACTAATGAGAATTGTGTTAGTGATACAGTGAGAACTTGATTCGGGCCATAAGTAGTTTTCGCTATAGTCGCTATATTCATAGTCTGGCGGATAGAATCTCGGGAACCAATTAAGCTGTCAAATAGCGGAACCAATCGAACAAATCACGACCAACAACAGAAAAGAGCACATCAGCTATTGCGAACAAAACTTCGGAAACCCTTTATCTCGTGACTCAAGGCTCGCCTACGCAAACTAACACCATCTTTGCGTTGGGGAAAGTTTCCCCTATCCGATGATGCCGGTAATTTGCGTTCGATTGGCGAGGAAAGAATAAATAACGTTTTGTTTATAAAAGTTGATAGTACCTTTTCAATTGTTGGTCTAAAATACATTGAATTGGTTCCGCTTTTTGATAGATCGAAATTCTATCCGCCAGACAACGATTATAACAACTATAGTTTTCGCATGTTCTGCTTTCCGCAGGGTTTAATATAGCTATGTTAAGCGGCGATTCAAATATTTGTATCGTCCTTATGTCGGTTTTATTTATTTATTTATTTTTGCCGTCAATCATGTTTGCTGATTATCATTATCGTGTTTGCTTTGATAATCCTAAACAATAATTCAATTAAACTCACTAATTTTAGTACAACATACCAAGACTTGGTGGGCTTCGGGGTCGTGCGGTTAGCGGCGTCACCCGTCGTTGAGGCGTATTGTGTGTTCCACGAAGTGAGGGTTCGATTCCCGCTCCAGCCGATGGAACTTTTCGCAACTCGAATATTTTCCTACTGGTCTACAGGGTGTTGTGTGCAAGGTTGCAAAGACTCATTTCAGCTAAAACAATGTTTTTCTAAATTATGAAATAATTAGATGCCATGATCAAATTTTGAATTGGTAGGATACAAGAAGAGGTTGCAAAGAATGTGTTTGACATATTAAACCTGTTTATTTCACTTCATGAGAGTCACAATCAGCGATTTTTCACAAACTCACTCACTCACTCACTCACTCACTCAGCGATCAGCAAATCGCTGATTGTGACTCATAGAAAGCAAAATTTACAGGTTTTATGTTTCCAACGCATACTTTGTAAACTCTTCTTGTAAGTTACTAGTAAAACATGCCATCATACCATCTTTTGGTTTTATTATTCCGAAAAAAATTATTTTAGCTGAAATGAGTCTTTGCAACCTTGGTTGTGTGTTGTCCGTTGTCACTGCGTCTCGAAAATCATCTCATGAAGAATTTGTAAGATTAAATTAAAAAAAAACTGGTTTGAACGTTACAGTCCATTGTTTGAACTGACATTACACGTGTTGTAAGAAATCATGCAGAGGATGCAATAAATCCACCCTTACATTTGATATTCATACTATTTGTTTTGCGTTTGTTGTTACATAAATTTCAAATACATCTTTTGAGTTCGTTGATGACGGAACATCTTTGTTCGTAATGATTAGTTTTTCTCAGCCTTCGCTCAAGTTAGATCCATTGATTTAAATAAGATAAGTTTATTTTCAGATCGTTGAATATTTGAATATATGACATCATTAGATTTACATAATAATAATACACTTTTTTCAGTTTTCATTCATGCGGAATGTATGGATTTTAATCATTTAAGCTTGCTTTCAGCTCTTCGATGCTGAAACACCTCTAGGATTATATTATAATATTTCATTTATATTATTGAATTTTGCATTTATATTATAAATATTCACTTTTTCAGCTTAGAGATGAACTAGCCTACAGAAGTTAAAGTTAAGTTAAAGTTAAGTTAAAGTTAAGTTAAAGTTAAGTTAAAGTTAAGTTAAAGTTAAGTTAAAGTTAAGTTAAAGTTAAGTTAAAGTTAAGTTAAAGTTAAGTTAAAGTTAAGTTAAAGTTAAGTTAAAGTTAAGTTAAAGTTAAGTTAAAGTTAAGTTAAAGTTAAGTTGAAGTTAAGTTAAAGCTAAGTTAAAGTTAAGTTAAAGTTAAGTTAAAGTTAAGTTAAAGTTAAGTTAAAGTTAAGTTAAAGTTAAGTTAAAGTTAAGTTAAAGTTAAGTTAAAGTTAAGTTAAAGTTAAGTTAAAGTTAAGTTAAAGTTAAGTTAAAGTTAAGTTAAAGTTAAGTTAAAGTTAAGTTAAAGTTAAGTTAAAGTTAAGTTAAAGTTAAGTTAAAGTTAAGTTAAAGTTAAGTTAAAGTTAAGTTAAAGTTAAGTTAAAGTTAAGTTAAAGTTAAGTTAAAGTTAAGTTGAAGTTAAGTTAAAGTTAAGTTAAAGTTAAGTTAAAGTTAAGTTAAAGTTAAGTTAAAGTTAAGTTAAAGTTAAGTTAAAGTTAAGTTGAAGTTAAGTTAAAGTTAAGTTAAAGTTAAGTTAAAGTTAAGTTAAAGCTAAGTTAAAGTTAAGTTAAAGTTAAGTTAAAGTTAAGTTAAAGTTAAGTTTAAGTTAAGTTAAAGTTAAGTTAAAGTTAAGTTAAAGTTAAGTTAAAGTTAAGTTAAAGTTAAGTTAAAGTTAAGTTAAAGTTAAGTTAAAGTTAAGTTAAAGTTAAGTTAAAGTTAAGTTAAAGTTAAGTTAAAGTTAAGTTAAAGTTAAGTTAAAGTTAAGTTAAAGTTAAGTTAAAGTTAAGTTAAAGTTAAGTTAAAGTTAAGTTAAAGTTAAGTTAAAGTTAAGTTAAAGTTAAGTTAAAGTTAAGTTAAAGTTAAGTTAAAGTTAAGTTAAAGTTAAGTTAAAGTTAAGTTAAAGTTAAGTTAAAGTTAAGTTAAAGTTAAGTTAAAGTTAAGTTAAAGTTAAGTTAAAGTTAAGTTAAAGTTAAGTTAAAGTTAAGTTAAAGTTAAGTTAAAGTTAAGTTAAAGTTAAGTTAAAGTTAAGTTAAAGTTAAGTTAAAGTTAAGTTAAAGTTAAGTTAAAGTTAAGTTAAAGTTAAGTTAAAGTTAAGTTAAAGTTAAGTTAAAGTTAAGTTAAAGTTAAGTTAAAGTTAAGTTAAAGTTAAGTTAAAGTTAAGTTAAAGTTAAGTTAAAGTTAAGTTAAAGTTAAGTTAAAGTTAAGTTAAAGTTAAGTTAAAGTTAAGTTAAAGTTAAGTTAAAGTTAAGTTAAAGTTAAGTTAAAGTTAAGTTAAAGTTAAGT